CCTCTCCTGTCTCTCCCTGTCTTTCCCTGTCTCTCCCTATCTCTCCCTGTCTCTTCCTGTCTCTGCTTATCTCTCCCTGTTTCTCCCTGTCTCTCCTTGTTTCTCCCTGTCTCTCCCTATAATTATTAATTAATTAAAATATATTTTAATTTAATTTAATTTTTATTTTATTTTTATTTATTATTCAGCAAAACTTCACACACAAGCAGAAATTTATTTCTAAAAATTATATTTATTCTTAGGATTCATAAAATTTATAGAATTCATATTTATAGAATTTTACATACACACACCACACTTTCTTTCATACTTTATAAAATTCATATTGATTCTTAAAACTTGCACTATTTATAAAAATTTATTCCAGCAAAAAAATCTCTATACAAATTACATTCGTAGTATGGAATGGAAAATTCTTTTCGCACGCCATAGAGATAACTTGTATTTAGTAGTCGACGCGCAAATCGCGTTGGTAATATTTTTATTTTACATATTTTATAGTTTTTTATTAGCTATATGACGCGCACGTATTATTCTAGTTATATTTACAAATTTTACAATAGCTACAAAGCTTCCTTTACTGAATGAAGCCATTTGCCAATAGAACACTTGAAATACGAGCACTTGAGAGATATACCCTTTAAAAAGTTTAGATAAAACAAGAGGATCCGATAAGACTGTTATTTCGTTCCGTGATAACTTGCCGAATCTGTGCAGGTGCAAGTCGAGATATATTGTTGACATAGACTCTATTATAGAGTACTTACATCTCGTTCATGAAAAATAATATGTTTCGCTAAAATAAAAATGAACGAGAACGATGGTCTCTCATCTCAAAGTCAACTTGGATTCTGAAGCGAGATTGAAGCTGGGAACATTGCCGACAATTTATCCTGTTTGCCAATCTGTTTAACGATGTTACGACTACGGTGTAATATTGCGAACACCGAAACTACTTGAACTGAAATAGACGCAAACCAAGCGCTAAACGCAGAACGCGCATAAGAAATCGAGCTCATTGCTTCGTGCGAGCCGAAGAGACTGCAAATATCTCGAAAATGTTACGAACAAATCGGGAAATTTCCAATCTAGTAACGAATAATAAATTAGATTGGAGACATAACGGTCCAATTTATTATTTTTCATCTCACGAATATCTCCCGAGAACCTGTGAACGACGTCAGAAACTTGATTGAAAAATATTTTCCCACTTATTCGCACAAACATCTCTCACGTGGAAAGCCGTTGCAAACATTTGATAACATAAACTTTTAACAACTTGCATTACTTTGCAATACATCGATTGGATTAGAAGTTTACAAGTAATTATACCAGCTGTCATCAGCTGACGGAAAGTCTCCATTCGTTATTTCGAAATCCGCCGAGTTTAGATCTTCCACAGACGTGGAGGACTCAAAGAATTTAGAGATTTAATGAAAAATTTATTTAAGAATCAACATACTTTTCAACCACTGTGCGAAGGAGGAACTCTCCAGCTTCAAATAAAGACTGAACCTCGATTGAAACGCGCGGAAGCACGGCGTGGTAATATTTCTTTCCTCTCCAGAAATGGGACATTTCTTTGTTAATTTCCCGTAAGTTTGGTTTCACGGAGTTGCGCGTTGTTTTCCTTTTTTGTTTCTTTCCGCAACATCGGCTGGACCGTGTTTATTTCAAGCGGATTTCGCGACTAACGCTGCTTTTTGCAGGGTCGAAATGTGTCGCGTTACTTAATCACAGAGCCGCTGGGATACATTATGGAACCTCGTAATGGGTAATTCGATTAAGCCGACGGACTAGTGGCAAGTTATGATTCGTTTAACATCGACCTGCTGCTGCAGCGGCCAGCGGCGACGAAAGTTAAGGCTTGTTTCAGCCGCGCGCGAAACTACTTTCCCCGAGAAACATCGTGACGAAAACGTGACCGTTGTTTTGGGAAAACTCGGCGTGGAAACTCGCAGATTAAGGCGCGACGTCTCGCGTCCGTACTCGCCTTCCCTTTCTTGTTCTCTTTTCTACAAACAGTTGAAACTTCCGTTAGATCTGTTCGACATTAAAAGACCGTAAACTCGGAAAATCTGGCATTCTGCTCTCTCGCGCAAGAAGAAAAATCTTTTCCGCAAAACCACAAATAAAGACAAATAGCTCTAGATAAAATTCGTTGAAATTCTGAGAGAGAACTCGTTGACGCGCCGTGTAGATTAATATTCCTAATTTCTACAGGAAATGTTTCTGGATAGCATGTCTTCTCGTGTCTTTTCTTCTTCCGAGCACTTGATCTCATAAAATTACATTTAACTTTGGAATATCTCCCAACTAAGTTAAGACATCGTTCGTTATCACAAATTCGTTATCAAAAAAATCCCAAAGACATTGAAATGTAGTACAATAACTCGATATACAATAAGCATTTCGTTATTAGGTTTTCAAATAAAGGCTAATAAAAGATACCAGTTTTGTTATTAATGCTGGTATGCTTGAAATCATTTGACCTATTATTTTTTCTACGCACAATTTTGTATACACTTACATATATATAATAATATGTCCTCTATCGTCGATAAGATAACACGATCCGTCTATAATATTAAGAGTATAATCAATGATTGTGAACTATCGTTTTTTCAAAGGAACAAGTGTCGTCGTTAGTAAAGATCTCTTTATTCGTTAATCTTCCTCGCAATTAATTGACGCATGACGAATTAATTTTACCTATCAACCCATATCGCTAACGACTTATCGATTGTGACAAACGTCTGTCGTCAGCGGGCTATAAAAGAGACTAGAAGCATAAGTCAAAATAAAAATTACCTACGACTTCGTGCGCGAACCTCCACAGAAATGGACGTGGCTATACCTGCTTTGGCATTAAGTATGTAAAAAGAAGAATATTATCATCGATTAACTCGCGGTAAAAAATTATTTTTGGACTTGCGATCGCATAACAGTCGAAACAAAGTATATCCTTCGGTTTCTTGAGACTCGCGTGTTCGTGATAATTCTCTTGGACTTATAATCACGTAATCTCGTGAAGAGCAGCGTTTCGCGATGAGGAAAAAAGTATTTGGCATTGTGACTATACAGTGATTATACAGTGAAATAGTTAATTATAATAACTAATTAATTAGAACTTATTAATTATAGTGAATTAATTGCAGTCAAGAAAATCACGTTAAATGTTACAGTAATGACAGTGATAACAGCATATGCTATAGTGTTATTGTGCACGGACCTTGTTATCGCGACCGAAAACATTTGTCAGAACATTCAGCTGTATTAAAATTTGGCTGCAATAATTGAGAACAATTGGCTGAGTAGAAACCCTCTACATAAATCTTTTTGTTCCCATAGTCGAATTTTTCATCTGATCCCTATTCTTATCAGACAACGTAAAATTCAAGTATACTAACGGAGTTATTTTTTCCATGTATGCATTTACTCCTATCTTTTTGTTAGATCAACAAAATAACGACAGAAGAGTAATTATAACTTCAATGAGATCAACCATTTTTCTCTCTTCCCTCCCCCCTCCTCTCTCTCTCTCTCTCTCTCTCTCTCTCTCTCTCTTTCTCTTCTTCT